AAATTTTTAGTACTCGTAAATTTGAAATAACGACGAGTTGTGAGTATTGCTTGAATAAATTTATTATTTAATAATAACGACATTCACGATATTTAATTATAGATGGCATGACCAATTTATATATCTAAAGAATTCTTGGTGTAATATGAACAATGAGATATGTGAATGTTGTTCTGAGAATGATCATATTTGGTTTGAAGAATCAAATTATTGTGAAAGTTATTCTATGTTAAAACTGTACTGTTATTGCGGTGCTATAGTCAGATGGAGTTGGGAGGACGTCAAATATAAAGATTATAAATGGTGTAAATACTGTGATGAAGTTGGTGAAAATAATGAACGATATAGGAATCGAACTACTCATAATTCGCAAGACTGCAAATATAAACTGTCAGAATTAAGTACTACGGACTGGACGAATAAATTGTCAAAATTAAATGAAAAATGGAATATGGAAAAAATTGAATGTTTAATTTGTTTGACAAAAAAGTGGATTAAATGTCATTTTAAGTTTAATGTTTTATTGAATGTAAATTTTTATTGGTTGAATCATATGATTACAACGAAATAAATTTTAATAATTTTTTATTAGTAAATTTTTATGTTATCGTGTTTGTGGGTACTATAACATGTTAAACTGGTTAAATTGTATTATACAAACTAACTAGTTAAACCAGCCAGTATAAATTGTCTTGTAAAATTCAAAGTGGTCAGACTACTCAACATTTCTAGTTATTACTGAAAAAGATGTGAATATTATTTAAAATTTATACAGGTTTTAAAGTGAAAGTGATGTTGAATTTTTATTATTGTTGCGTTTGCTGATTGATATAAATTTTCAATAAATTATATGTTGTGGCTTTAATTAAAAATACGAAGATAATGAATATAATTTAAGATTTATATAGAGGATTGAAAATTTTAATTCTACACGTGATTAAGTTATGTGCAATAAAAAGAATTTGATTCGTAAAAAAAGTATTAAAAAAAAATGTATTACGAAGAGTTTAAAATCCGTGAAGAGATTTTTATTTTTGAAATCTATGAATTAATTGCTCCTTTATATTTAACAATTCCTAACGATAAAGCATAAAACTTTAAATGTATATTTTCAACTTATCGATGATACTCCTATTGAATTTTACTATAACTTGAATTTGTTCGATAGCGAATTTTTTATCAAAGCGGAGTATGCAAAGATTATTAGTTATTCGAAAAGTAGATTTGTGAAGTTTCAAAATGTTACTTCTTTCAACCGTTACGAGAATACCATTGAAGCCGATAAAATCGAATATATAATGTATTATCCGGATGGATTATTTTATTCAAGACATAGTGTTGTTTCGTAGTTGTTACTGCCAAATTTTTCATGTCGTAAACGATAGCACAAAGAGATCCGTTAGTTCTCTTGAAATAGACTTTACGTAATACGTAACTTGTTGACCTTTTAAAATTCATATTAAATAACATATCAGCAAATACTTTAAGCACAGTTTGCGACGACGAATATTTATATATATATGATTACCTTTCGTTGGAAAATCCTTGAAACAAATATGAATAAAGTTGTGTTTACGTTAAGATTTGTTAAAATCAGCGAGTTTAAAAATCATGTATATATATACTGTTTAAACAGTTCGTGTAACCTTTCTATCATTTATTGGTTTAAGAAAACTAGAAAAAAATTCTGCGTCGATGCCCATTGTTTAAGATATGATACTTTAAGTATCATTCGATTTTAAAGTGTATGTTAATTTTTTTTTAGCAATCGAACTTAGTATAGAAAATAATACTTTTTGAGTGGCCGGCAAATAAGTAGGTATTTCAGTCACACGTAGTGTTGCAACTTAATTAGAGATGTGACCTGAAAATTGAACAGATAATATAAATAATTCACTGGTTACTTTAAGAGATCATTTCTGGCTTTTAAACTGTTCCAAATTTGGCATTAAGTTACGCTAATTTTTTTTTATTTATAGAGATTTTAAAAGTACTTTATATATTAACGTTATATAATAATTTCTATTCATATTAGATTCATAAATCATATTTAATGTAACAAATAACATTGGTTCGATGATAAAAAAAAATGCCTCGCAAAAACCATCATAATAAAACTCTAAATAAACTTAAAGCAAAGCTTCGTTCAGACAATATAAATGTTAGTGAAATAAATAATGATGTTAAAAAATTAATTAAAGAACGTAAATCTTTCTTACTACGCATGAGGCAGAGAAACGAGATCTCCAAAGAAAATTATGAATTAGAACACTCTAATATTAAGAAATTAGAAGCTCAATTTAATTCACTAATTTCCAAAATTACACGATTAGAAAATGATATAGATTTCTATCAAGTTGAAAACAATGAACTCAAAGAAAAATTACAACTTTTTACCAACAGTTATGAAGATAATAAAACAGAACTTGAAAGATTATTATAAAGTTATTCAAAAAACTCATTCCGTATTAAAGAGAGTAGTTAATTCTAATGAAATAGGTAAAATTCAAATTTTGTGCAATTCATAAATTATATATAACTTTACTAATCCTAAATTTATCATCAGATTTGTTGCAGTTAGTCCCATAGTTTTCCAAGAAAATAATTCATAACTAAATCTATACAAATGACAGTCAAAAATTAAGAAATGATAAAATGCTTAAATTTTAAAATTACATTTGTTTACGTGAATTCAAAATAAGATAAGTTAAATAAAAGTATCAGAGACTCTTATTTCGAAAAACATACTTTGGCAGGTTTTGCCTATTTAAAAATCTTCTACGAAACACCGCTATATAGATTTAATAAATTCAATAGTTGTTTTAAGCCTAGGTTAATAGATTAGTAAAGATCCTTTATAAGAATTCTAATTTAAACTTGAATCAATTCTACTTGATTCTGAAGAAGTGTAAACGTTATTAGAAGTTCTTAATAAAAACACTGCTCTAAGTTTTTTTAAATCTTTGTATTAATCAGATTGATACTGAAAAGGGAAGGTGTTAGCAAAGTTTCTTTCCAAATACACTATACTGACTTCTTTTAATATTTACGGATACAATAAAAGTTGGTTATAATTTCGGATTAATAGGAGGAACCGCATTCGCGGATGCACTTTGTAAGGATAATACCTGGAAGATTTGAATATTCAATATCATAAACTTGGACCAGATGCACTTTGCAAGAGTTTCACGCTAACTTCTTTAAATCTTCACAGTAATAATCTTGGTTTAGAAAAAAGAAAGCATTAGCAGATGCATTTGCAAAAACACTGTACTAACTTCTTTAATTCCTGATAGTAATTATCTTGAGTCAAAAGAAGAAAAAGTAGTGCTTGCTCGTCAAATGCATCTTTAATTTCTTTGGGTAGATTTGAAAAATCAATCACATATGATAATAAGGGATTATTATATTCTAGATTCATTATCATTTCCTCAGTAATACCACGACAAATTGTTTTGACAACATCAATTTCTATATTATTTTTATCCATGAATGTCTATTCGAGGCATCTTTTTGATCCTATAAAGACCAAATATTAAATCAAAAATTGATACTATTATGGTCAATAATAATAAAGTACTAACCATGTGCTATTTTAGCGCAAATTTTTATCCTATTAATATACGGAGGAAGAAAGTTTCATTATTAATACAAGTCAAGGACTTAATACATGCGGAAATTTCGACACATTAACAAACATTTCAAGGAAAATATACATGTTTTTGGATATGGTATATTTTTTCGCTTCACAAACGATTAGAATTAGAGTATCCAAATTACACACGGTATTAGCTATTTTCCTATTGTTTAAATAAAATAGAATTGTTTGAAAACACGTAATCTGAACACTCTAGATTAGAACACATGAAAGCTTAACAATTTATTTGAATAAATGTGATATCGACCAAAATATATCATAATAATCTTTAATTCTTGCGAGAATTAGTTAAATTAAGATCTTTATTTTATTCAGGATGGACGAGGGTGTTTGTATAATTTTATTTGAATGTTTTTTAAATTTTGTATAAACAAGAATTAAGAAATTTTAAATAAGTAAAATGTTGGCAAGAATTAAACATTCGCATATTCTGGAACATTTAACAGTTCTTCAGAAATTAAAAATGCTATATTATCACTATCCAAAGATCTGATTTTCAGTCTCGTTCTTTCTTGTTCAACGTTCGTTACCATCTTCAACCATAAAGACAAAAAATTAATACGTTTCCCGTCCATAATTTCAGGTAAAAGCTCCATGAACTTTCTGTACGCAAATTGATTAGCAGCGGTTTCTGAGAATAAATGTGTTTTCTTTATATCATCTAATCTTCTTCCAATTTTATCAGTAATTGTCAGTTTTAACTCTTTTTTGTAGGTAATTTCTGGAAGATATTTATCGATTACGTGCGGAAATGATAGAGTGAATTCGTTGATTTTATTATCCTCGATCATCTTGTAAAATGACGAGTGGTATTAGTATCTATGTAATTCTTTGTTTTTCAATATACTGACAACAATAAATGAAATGAAATAGTAGAGATGTGAACCGTTATCCTTAATTTAATATTAGATATTTATTTGTTCTAATATA